GTGGGGGGCCGCCGCCTCCGAGCGGTGCCGGGCGCGGGGGGCCGACTGCCCGGGGGCTGCCGGCGCGCCTCAGGTCAGCGTCGCCTTTCCTCGTGCTTCGGAGAGCGCTTCCCCCCCCCTTCCTAAACTTAAACGTGGTTGAGCGCTTAGAGGAGATAAAAACGGGAGAGGCAAGCGCTGTGGCTTGGGAGGGTTGCGATAGTTGTCGTTTCGCGACTGCAGAGAGTACTAAAAAAAATAAGCGTACTAAATAACGACAGTGATCCAGGATTTGGAGCCTAGCTGCGTTGGCACCTGCTTTCCCGTTCAGATACAAGGAGGTCACAATCTGCTGTTAGTTTAGCAGGGCCCAGGAGCTTCGAAGCAAGTTGGTCTGCTATTCTGCAGTGGTACAAATACTGATTAAAAGCCGTCCCCAGCTCTGAAGAGTTTACTGCCTAAATAGGTATCGCACGACAGGTCAGGTGCAGAGATATCGTGCAGCAGGTCGGTGGCCGGAGGCACTGGGATCTGTTCAGATCCACAGCCATTGCTCCGGGAGCAGAAAACTGGGCTGCCTGTCGTCTTGTAGGGACATAGGAGCTTGAAAATCGCCTGTAGCTTGCTTTATGTAGAGTGATTTTGGAGTCCATTTTTTATCTGTCATCATGTCATCGCCATGTTCTGCTGGGAGTCGTCTCGCTGAGGTTCACCTGGGCTTGCCCGAGTCCTTGCTTCCCAGAGTGAGCTGGGAATTTGCAGGGCCGGATGGAAGAAGCTTCAATTTAGGCAAGTCAGCTTTTCTTCCTCCCCATCCATAGGAGCTGTGATAAATGGAAGGCCTTAGCGTTACCAGACAGGCCTGTCTTTGTGGCCCTGGTGGACCTGGCCAACCTTGCCAGCACTACTCTTTTCCTCTTTCCTTAGCTATAACTAACACCTGTAGCTGAAGTACTTGTGGATGCATCCTGACAGCTTTTGCTGTGGGGTCATGGTTGTATACATGCATATGTTTACTATTTCCTAGTTTGCTGAATTTAAAATTCTTGGAAGCAACTTTAGTACTACCAGTTGGTCTTAGTACGTGCATTGGTGTTTTATTGACGTCAGCAGAGAAGTTTATCTCCAATAGTTGCAGAATAGCTGGGAGATGTGTGTTTGGCTCATGCTGACTGAATGGAAAATAGCGTAGTCTCGTTGTGAGATTGGGTACTCTTTGGTATTGTGATGAATGTTTGCTCTGTTTTATGCACCGTTGTGAGGTGAAGGACAAACCCACCCAGGATGCTGGATGGAAGCAGGAAGCAGATAGGCTTTCTGAATGTGGAGGCAAACTGGGGAGACCATCTCTGCTAATGCCCCCAGCCAGGAAGGTAGGACCAGGAGTGCGTTGTGCTCCTACAGTGAGGGCTGCCAACTGCTCTGAAACTCCAGCAGTGGTCAGAACATGACGTGTATCAGAAACTGAAACTAAAGGAGGATTTTCTTCCATGAGGTTTCAGATGAGTTGTACCAAGAAGTGTACTGATTAACAAACAGACTAGGTAATAAGTATTACTGAGATGAAACTTTGCTAAGAGGGATAGTACCCAAAACTAGGAGAGGCAATACCTGCTCTGGAGCCAAGCAGCACATGCCTGCTCCTTTTTGGAGTTTGCAGGCATGCAAAACTCTCCTCTGTCTCCAACAGGGATTATATGATATGGGAGGTGGGTTGAGAGGCACATTCCAGTATGATGTATTCTGTAGGGTTTGACTCTTCCTTTGTTTTTAGTTTTATTTATCTATTTATTTATTCTTTTAAATCCACACCACTTTATTGTTCTGCATTGTGGCCCTTCTCAGGGTCACAAGATCCCTTTGAGTCTGCTCCTGGAAGCCATCCTTCTGCTTCCCAGCCATCAAGACCTCCTGTTAGGGTGCGTACACTGCTTCATGGACCTTTTCATCTTTTGCTACTTTTCTGTCTTTACTGTGCATTGACAGTGTTTCTGGTGGGTGTTGGCCCCTCTGTCTGTGGCCTGTGGCACAGTGGCAGCTAAAGGCCATAAGGAAAATCACAAATACTTTTTGCTTCAGTGTTAGTCTTCACTTTTCCTGCCTTACTGGAATTGCTATTTGCTCTTTCTGTGCTCTGCTGTACTTCCACATGCTAAAAGTGTTTTCCAAATTATCTCTGTATGTTATGGATCCAGCATACTGGTTTTTGAATGGCTCAGGTAGCTTTAGTAACTGCTAGTGCATCCTCTTAGGCTAAAATTAATACTTGGGGGTAGTCCCCATGCAATATTGAAGGATTTTGCTCAGGAAAACAGTGGACTAATAAGGAAGCCTTACAGTGTTGCCTTTCACAGGGATGACAGCTGATGCAGAAGTAGATGGAAGGACTAGCTGTGTGGCAGGCCCTGGGGGCATAAGCGCTGAGGCAGAATGCAGTCCCCTAGGATGCTTGAAACTCTCCCCTGTTCAGCAGCGCCCCTGCAGGGTGATGTTGGAAGAATTGTCTCATGTAGTTGAGTAATAACCTAAAATATAATAAACTGGTAAAACTGTAAACCATGATATGGTTTTTGCTGCATTTTCGGTAGGAATCTATGGTAAATATGCCTGTCATGCAATACATATATATCTATCTTTAAATGTGGGCAGCACCAATAAGTGATAGAATTATTTTACTTTGGGGTACTTTCCAAACTGAACTAAAGGTTTACCTTTTAGCGTGTGAAAAGTTGCAAGAGGACTGGGTAGAGATAGGACCTTGCCAGTACCTAAGGTGGTGGAAGCAGTGGTGTTTGAACACCTTTTGCTCCCCTTCCCTGCTATATTATAATACATTGTATAATGTTTATTGTAAGTTATCCTCTACAGCTGTGTCAGTAGGATCTCAGATCTCAAGGTGTCCTGCTGATTAAGCTTTTGATGATAACTGTGAGGTCAACGGCACTTTTTGGAGAGGTTGCAGCATACCGTCCTGACAGCTCGTCACCACATCTGTCTTCAGTAGGTGTTTGGTGGTACGTGTCACATGGATGGTGTTAGGCACTGATCACAGGAGCCGATGGCCCTGCTCTTGCTGCTGTTCCCTGGCATATCTCCTACGTGTCAATCTTCCTCTGGTTCTGCTGGGCTCGTAGGTCTCTGAAGGAGCGTTCTGCCCTGGAGTTGATGGGGAGCCTGCGTGCGTGCCGGTGCGATGTACTTCCTCCTGGGGATGCGTAGCTCCAGGCGTGGGGGCTTCGTGCTACCTGCTTTTGAAAGGAGAAACACCTTACTTTGGGGCAGCGTTTTGAGGAAGGAGGACTGCAACCGGACGGACTCCAGAACAGTACCAAGCGTGTGGGCTGTGCTCTGCCTTGCATCCTGTGGGATGCTGTAGGGCATAGTAAATCACTGTATTTTCTATTTGAACCTTAAGGGAAAGAGAATTGCTATGAGATAGAGCTGTTTTGTGTAAGACAGGACTGATCACTGTGATCCAAATGACAATTTTTTTAGGAGAGTCCATGTGGGCCTAAGAACTTTGAAGTAACAGCTGAATTAATTTGAGACAGCCTTGGAAGTGAACTCTGGATAGATATGGTTGGCAGCTAGTGGTAGGTGACCTTGCACGTGTTCCCACAGTATACACTACCGCGGTGTTTGCTCTCTGCTCCCTGGGCTCTGAGTGCAATTGTGATTTCCTCCTCCTACCGCAGAAAGACTTTCTCTTTTGCACCGAAGTATCAAACACTTCCTGGCACCTGGCAGGAGGACAGTATGTTTAAATTGTGCTAGATAGTGCCAGGCAGAAAGGCAGTGTTCCTGGCCGCAGAGAGGGCATATGGAGGGCCAAAGGGCAAGTACCCTGGGAGAGGGTAATGTCACCCCCTGCGGGGGGCAGGTGAGTGTCTCCATGATGAGGATGGCTTTTAGGCCCTGCCGTCATGATACAGGGAAGCCGAAGGAAGGCAGTAACTGTGCCCTTAACCACAACTGTGCTCTATCTGCAGAACTCCTCTTCGGGTGCCCTTGAAAATGGTTTGAAACCTAATGAAGAGCCCCTTCTCAGGAAAAATCCCCATCGATTTGTCATCTTCCCCATCCAGTACCCAGACATATGGAAAATGTATAAACAGGCTCAAGCTTCCTTTTGGACAGCAGAAGAGGTGAGCTCTGGGGCCCGTGGGGTGGTGCAAGGCTCTTGGACAGGGATCCTGGCATTTCATTCCTGGCTTTGCTGCTGGTTTGTGTTTTGTAACCTTGGGTGGAATTAATTTTATTGAACATCAGGTGTCTGCAGCTGAGGAAGGCTTTCTTCATAGTCAGTGGAAAGAAAGACACTTCCACAGGGCAAATCAGCTGACGTGTTTTTGGTGTCCAGTTTAGGTTGAGGTGGAATTGCATTCAAGGGAACCTCTTTTCTGACTATAGAATGAGTCTAAATCAAATTTGAGGATCTGTATGTGTGAGTGTATGTGTGTATATATATGCGAGTGTGTGTGAGTGTACACCCCCTTCTCCCCACACACACACATTGTGCTATGGTTTCTGAACTTCAGTGTTCTGATTCTCAGAGTGCAGCTACCTCCTTGCCTATATAAAATATTCTGAGCAATTTTATGAGAATGCTCATAATTAGGTACTTATTTTCCAGAAAGGTGATGATAACTGGGGACACTGCAAAAAAAAAAGCCTCTAATTTACTCCAGAGCACCCTGGTTAGATGCTATCCCTGTATTATAAAGCAAACTGTAAGTTAAGACACTTTGTTTTCCCTGAGGTCACTGGTTAGGCAGACCCGAGTAGTGCTGTCTTAGCTAGCTGCACGGAGACTTCGCAACGCCGTGCTGAGCTAGAGCGATCCCCTGCAGGTGAGTGGGGTGTTCAGCTCAGAGCTTCGGTGGTCTTTGGTCTTCTGTGAGCAGTGACCTCCAATTGCTGAGGGATAAACTGAAATCACCGACCGACTCTAAATAGGCCAGAAATTATAATGGGATGAAATGAGTTTGTCTGTAGAAGTGTTATGCCATTCCCTGCCAGGGAAACTTGTCCTGTGTCACTAGAAGTTGATTTAAGCTGTAAGAAGCATTTAAACTCCTGTCTGATAGCATCGCTCTTTTACTGTATTAGTGGTTCCTTCTCATACTGCCCTACCGTGTGTCGGCCTATTCCCAGCTGAACTGAAAAGTTAATAGGGAGTGTGTGTGTATATGTGTGTATGTATATATATAATATTAAATGTGTATGTATATATAATATGTGTGTGTATCTATATGTATATACACACGCGTGTGTACCTGCTGTATACATATGAATATATATAGTATTTCTGAAAACTACAGACAGACCTATACATTTTTATACCTATATATTTACATATATATGCATTATAGATACTTATATATGTAAACACATGTATGTTATATCTACATATATAAAAACATTTTTAGGTCCGTTGATAGTTTTCACATCTGGCCCTACTTAACTGCTGCTGTGGTTCAAAACTCCCTCAAAACAAACAAATAAACAAACAAAAAAGGCCTATGCTAAGGAAGTTGTGGTTTTTCTACCGTGGCTACAGTTCAGTCTTCTAGAGGAGAGCAGTTACACAGCATTTGCCCAGGGCTGTTCTTGGGAGGGATGGAGGGTGAACACCTGTCAAAGGCAGAAATGCCCTCAGTGCATCTTCTGGCACACCTGGCTGTAGGTTTCTTGCAATATCAACGTTCTTTGCAAGTAGAATATTAAAGCATCTCGGATTGAGCTCTGCGTATTGATGCATGTTCATACTCATGCCAATGAGATACTGATATTTTTCATAATCTGATTTATTTATAATTCAAAAATTAATACTGTTTTTTTTTTTATTCCAAATCATTTCCCAAAATGTGGAAAGCTGCTATGTAAAAGTAAATTAATCCCTTTTTCAGTAGAAATATTGTTGCTGAAGTTTTAGGCCTTCTAGGATTGGAACCCTGAAAGGTTTTACGTTTGCTATGTGTTTCAGAAGATTCACACTTGTTTGTGGGGAAGTAAGCTGCAAAACAGTCACATGAAGTTACAGTTACAGAAACAGAGATACTGCAGTATCTGGTGTACATTTTACATGTATTAAAATTCTTTATAAGTAAAGATTTGACAGCAGACTCCAAAATCCTGCCTCAGTGGTTTGACTATGCTGCTTTTGTTCTTGCAAAATTACAAACACAGAAGGGTAGTAATGTTTTTCTTCTTCTTTTCATTAGGTTGACTTGTCAAAGGACCTGCCGCACTGGAACAAGCTAAAAGCAGATGAAAAATACTTTATCTCTCATGTTCTGGCCTTTTTTGCAGCCAGTGATGGAATTGTAAATGAAAACCTGGTGAGAAAGCTTTACAGAGAGCCTAAATGCTTACTCATTTTTATTAGCAAGCGTCTTTTCACTTTGGTGATCTCATATCAGTGCCATAATTTTGTTATTGAATGTGTAAACTTTCTTCTCACCATCATCTCACCTTTGCCAAGGGAAATAAGCAGCTTATTCTGCTAGGATGAGTGTCTGAATTAAATTAGGTCAACTCTGGTCAGCAGGACTCCAAATTATGTCATTCTTGGACACAGTTTTTTAAGTCCAGCCTTCTGACTGACAGTGTTGATCTGCATTTCTCAATGAATTAATTAAACTCCATGCTCCTTCATGTAATTGTGCTACAGCAGAAGCAGGAGGAGAATTGAGCTATGCCCTCCTCAGCTTTTTTGTTTTGGTAAAACCTCTTTTGCCCTCACTAAATGGCATCCTGGAATCTTTCTGGGCTATAAATGGGTGCTACTGAAGTGCTGGGGAAATCTCCTCTTTCTGTTGAAATCAATTCTGGAATGCAGTATGTCTCATCCCCGGATTACCTCTGGTATCTGAGTGGAAATACTCATTTTAGATCTTCAGCATCTTGAACACGTAGAATATGTCATGAAATATATACACACATACTATGAACATGTCATTGTCATATGGTTTATTTTTTTCAATAATGAACAAAAAGTCTGAGGCTTTGTTCGATGTGAAGTTTTTATTGTTGCGATATTTTGCTGTTCCCCTCCTGTGTGTGTGTGTGCTGTCATGCTTCACTGCACTTTTCTATGCAGTATGCATAGCAGATGTACTTCATCTTGCTTTCTTTAATTTCTTCTGCACCACACCTGGCTTTGTGACATAGCTGTTCATAAAATAGGGCTGAAATGTCCCCATCCTTTCTCCGTGGTAAAGATCAATCATATCTCCTATTAGGCTCGAGAGTGCCAGTATTACTGTACTCATTGGTATGCTTCTTTTTTTTGTTGGTAGGTGGCGCGTTTTAGTCAGGAGGTGCAGATCCCAGAAGCTCGTTGTTTCTATGGCTTTCAGATCCTTATTGAGAATGTTCACTCAGAGATGTACAGCTTGCTTATAGACACTTACATCAAAGATCCTGAGAAAAGGTAATTATCTGAATGTGCTACAGACCCGTGGGAAATGTTGTCCAGTCCAGGGGCACAGTGGCTGGGCAGCAGCTGCGTCCTTCTGTTTCACATTGACGTAGTGTTGGAGTTGGAGACGGTTGGTTAAAGCTTTCTAGGTCTGCCTCCCTGACCCCCAAAACGGAGAGAAGTATTACTGACCAACGAAAGTCCATGAAAGTGTTGAGAAGGTTAGTTAATATTTGTATAGGGTTTTGATTGTAAGAAATGCAGACTGTGTGAACTGTTGTTAAAGATTAGACAAGTCCCCTCTGGTTACTGTGCTCCTGAGGTGCCTGTTCTCACATCAGCAAAGGATCTGCCTCTATGAATTTAGTGCTCTTTACCCAACTGGGGTTGGTAATATATGCTAACCAATGTATTACTTCCTTTTTTTTTTTAATGGTTGGTGCTTTTCCATACAACTTGAGCTATTAATTTTAAAGTACTGAGTTTTTTGGAGAGACCCATCACCTTTGTCACCTGGAGATCTGCCTAGTCCAAATGATAATACCTTTGAAAAGAAGCACTTCCCCTCAGAGACTGTGCTATGGCAATGGGCAGGCAGAGCCCAGTTTCCCAGAGTGGCATCCTGTGGGGTGAAGTGTTGTCCTCCATCCTCAAGGCACAAGGCTATTGGGAAAGCTGCAAGGTTTTCTTTCAGCTATTTAGCATGGGAACAGAGACTGCGCTTGTGGGAGCTGTGTCCAGTTCTTTTTGTGGAAAAAGGAAAGATGGACGTTTTCATGGAACTGGGAAAGGTGAGGTTTAGCTTCTTGAGCAGGGACTAGCAACCAGCTGGCTTGGAGTATGAGAGGCAGCATGGCCTGGTGGATGGACGGGCACTTCTTCGATAGGTAGGAGGCCCGTGTTTGCTTCCTGTCTCTGCAGCTCACCTTCTCTGAGACCTTGGGTAGATCCCTTCCCCTTTCTGCCCATGTGCTTCTGTCTGTGCCCTGTTATCAGAGATCACACGGTCTTTAGGGTAACGACTGTCTCTGATTTAGTTCAGAGCCTAGCATGGTGGGTTCCACTGCCTGTTGGAGCCTGTAGAGACATCCAGAACAGGTAAATCACTTTTGTGTGATTACTCTGATGTTTTATTTGTTTCCTTTTATAGGGATTTTTTATTTAATGCTATTGAAACAATGCCTTGTGTCAAGAAGAAGGCAGATTGGGCTCTGAAGTGGATTGAAGACAGAGAATCTACTTTTGGTGTGTAGCCTCTTAAAAGTTGTTTCTGTTGCACATGCCACAAACTAAACCTCTGGGAGTGAGCTGCAGTCCTGGAATGTGAAACAAAATTTTCCAGAGGTGATGCAGTGGCTTTGTGGGTCTCCTGGTTTAATTAAAGGACTAGAAATAGCTTCTGGTGAGCATATATGTTTTAATCTTCAGATAAAGCAACACAGTAGTGGGGATGCCCACAGGAATCACAGCTTGAAGTGCTTGTGGGTTCCTCTGTCTATCTTTTTTTCTTCATACCAAGCAACCCTAGCTCTTTCAATCTTTGCTTGTAGATCTTGTTTCTTAGACTTCTGATTCTCTCTTCCAGTTGGTTCCTGTCTTGTACTCTATTATTCAAAACTGGATGGCTGAAGTCTGACAAGTCCAGCCTAAAATGGAAGACTTACTCCACGTTCTCATAGACAAACCCCTGTGTGACATTAGCCTTTTTTGCAACAGCATGATTGAGTCTGGGCAAAATCCAAGAATGATCTGCTTCTGGTGTTACTGGCTTGCTCGTGGGACCATGTTTCCAATATCCTCTCTCATCTCAGAGCTGCCACGCTGTTTCAGCTTCTGACAGCCTGATACAGGACGTCCTTTCTAGCGTTCTGCGTCCAGCTTACGATGCTGACTCTGAAAGATATGTTGTAGTTGAAACGAATAATGGGCAGACTCTGGTGGATTTCCTAAACCAAACACCCTGTGTGCTTAGGGACTGGATAGGAGATGGAGAGATTCAGACAGACTAACAAAATACATCTGGGTATTGCTCTCCCTCAGCATCTGTTGTACACAGCACTTGTTTGAATGGGCTTCCCTTTGTAGTCATAGATTGTCCTGTCCTGGAGCCTTCTCTCCAGTTTGGCTTTTCCTGCCCTGTGCAAAGTCTCCTTTTCATCTCCTCCACTGAGCTCACATCAGCACGAGGTGCACGAGGAATCAGAAGGTTTCTTAAGTTAACGAGCAATGTCTTTTGTTTCTCCAAACATCCTGCGTCCTATCCAAACGTTTTGGATTTTTTTTCTTTCAAAGTACATTTCTGCTCTTCTGTTTTTCCACCTTATTGGGAAAGTTTCCCAAATTTAAGATGTTCTTGGACCCAGGTTTTACATTTATGGAATATGAGATCAACAGGGAGTGGCTGGCTTGCTTGGTGTTTCCTTCCAGAGAGGGTACCTGACCTGCAGCAGCATTTCTCTAGGTTTGGCTGATTTCTTATGCTGAGGGTTCAGTTCATGTACTTGTTCTGTGGACTCTCAGCATGCACAGAGATCCCAAATTGCACTTGGATTGGTGCTGCTGATGGGAGATTTTGCTTCAGCACGACTCATTTATATGATAGCTAGTCAGGTGGAATGTAGCAAAAAACATACTGGTAGTCAAGATTGCATTTCATTCATCATCTGTTGTATGAGCAATCTCCCTCTTCTCATCTCTAAATGTAACCTAGGAGATTTTTAGTGTTTGAAGATAAATTCTTTCCTTATAAACTTAAAAGTATCAACAGAAGTTACCATGGCTCTGCATGCTTTTCTCCTAACTTGAGTTTTCTTCAGATGAGCCAGCAGATGGCGTTTGCATCTCGTTAAAGTGGGACATCTGATTTTTTGGGGGATGTTTATTTATTTATATATTTTAAAACAAACAGAAAAATCTGTGCAAATCTCATGAGGAAGAGGCACTGGCACTTAGTACAAAAGCCATTCACTTTGGAATATACCTAGGGATCTTGTGTAGTTGTTTAAAATAAAATATGTGGAATGACGTATCTTCACCAAGCAGTCAGATGATCCTGTAATCTAAAGAAATACTTTCCTGTAGGAGAACAGGAAAAAACTTTAGGGGAGACTGGGACCAATAATGCTATGATTTCCTTGGATGAGAGGTGAGATAACAGCACAAATAACAATTTGTTGTATCTTGGTGAATTATGTTCTGTATTCTTCCACTCCTTATAAGAAAATGCCTGTAATGAAGGTTCCTGAGGAGCAGAAGTTAAGGTGTTTTGTCTGTTTTACAGGAAGTGAGCTTCTCTGTTCTGTATGTTAATTACACAGCCATTTTCCTGCCTTTTAGGAGGAAGATGTAGGGGTACAAGTGTCTTAGCTAGTTTGGACCATTATGTTTCCCTTCTGACCTTTTGTGGCAGTTTTCAGTGGGTGTCCTGGTTCTTCTGTGCTGCTGTGTGTGTGTGTGTCTGTGTGTGGTTAAGTGCTGTTGCACCTGTAGGCCCTGTGTGCTTCGGGATGTGCTGAAAGATGTGGTCAGATAAGGCACCTGGTGCCACGGTGGGGTTACCTCTCCTCCAGTATTGGTCTGTCTGATGCAAATGATTAGTCTTGGTAACGAGCAGTGTACTGTTTTGTGCCTAACTGCAAGTGTGTTACATTAAACAGGTGAGAGGGTGGTTGCCTTTGCTGCAGTTGAAGGGATCTTCTTTTCGGGTTCCTTTGCTGCTATATTTTGGCTGAAGAAGAGAGGCCTGATGCCTGGACTGACTTTCTCCAATGAACTTATTAGCAGAGATGAGGTAATTTGTCATGTCCTACATATTGTCTGGGGAGGGAGCGAGTTTCCAGTAGAAGGGTGGAATTTTTTTCATAAAGATCCCACAGTCCTGCCAGAACAGCCCACCTCTGTTGGTGGGCAGGGTGGGAGGGAAGCTGGCGCAGGGCAGAAGAGGGACAAAGCAGGTGAGTGGCTGCAGAAGCAGTGGTGGGGCAGGAAGCAGCGAAAAGAAAATCCAGCAGCGCCTAGGGGCATGTTCCTAGGTAGGACAGAGCCCTCATAACATTTGCAGTGCCAAAGGGCAAGGAGATGGTTTGGAATTGCACAGCCTCTGACTGCAGTGTAGGCTTGCTTGGCAAGGACCTGGCTTGCTTGTGACTCTGAGCCTGCCTCTGGCTTAACTACTTTGGTCAGGCTCAAGCAGCCTCTTTGTCCCACTCCCTTTCTCCCTCCAGTTGTGGGTCCCAGGGCTTGCAGATAGCCTTCTGCATTGCTTGGCCAGCTGCAGGCGCGTTACTGCAGAAGCGGCAGATCTTGTTCCTCTCCGTGTGCTGACGTTACTGCACTGGATCTCATGGATGAAGCTGCTACAGGTCTGCATTAGAGGGGAGAGCTTTTTAGCTTAAGATGTGATGTGTCAGAGGGGCTACGTGCCAGTACGCTGAATGTAACAGGCCTCGTGCTAACAAACACCCTTTCTTTTCACTGCTTCCTGGACTGCTGTCTGCCAACTGGCAGTCCTTCCTTATGGCTGGGGCATGTCTATAAGGCACGACACAATTTATGGCACTGCCAGCACTGAAAAAGCTGAAAGACCAGTTTTATTTGCAGTATAAATGTGATGGCTGAACTTACCATAATTGATCTAAAAGGATAAAGAGCTTTATCATAATGGAAGTAAGCTCCGTGGCTTAGATAAATTGATTGGCAAGGAGGCATCTTACAAGATGCCTTTAAATAAAAGACATTTATTGAAGAATGTGTTATGACAGGAAAATAAAACCAAACAATCCTTCAGCCTTGACCTTTCTTATGTCTCCTGTTTCTGTGAGTCATTATGAGCTGATTCATTCAAGTGAGGAAGTACTTCTTTGTTAGAAAGATGACTTGCAGATGAATGAGATGTAAAAGCCTCTACACATCAATGTAACCATACTTCTCTGCAGTGTCCAACACCAAAAGACTTGGTTTTTTTTTGAGCTCCAGTGGCGTGATTCCAAATGCATAGCTATTAATTATGAGGAGTAAGACATGGTCCACAAAGCACCTGCATTAAAAAACCAGGGAGTACTGCTAGAAAAGCAGCAGCAATAAAAAATACCTTCAATAGAAAACTGCACAATGAGCTATTTTTTGATGCACCTAAACAGATAAATGATCAATGCTCAATATATTACTGAGCCACAGGCTCTGTTCCCAGCCTTTTCTTTGAGTCAGTGTAGCCTCTGGTTCTTAAAGGCCCAAAGCTGCCAGGAGCACCAGTGAGCAAGGTGCGCCAGTGTGGGTGAGAAGCCAGTCGCGTCCTGGATCCTGCTGGTGCCATTGCCCAGAGGAGACCGCAGGAAGCCCTGCCGTGGGCAGTTAACACAGTTCCTAGAGGGGGAGTATTTCCCAGCTTACTTTGTTTCAGGGCTGTTTTATGACTTGAAGCTTGAAGATTTCATAGCCTTGCTGGAAAAGATTTGCTTCTTGGTTTTGTTTTAACTGTGGTTAATGAAAACACTGGATTGTCTCGTTGCCCGTAGCCTGCTGAATCCTTTTGACTGGTTTTTGCTCTGAACATGCTCTTGTGGTACTCATATGCTTTAATCACCATATAGTAGTAAAGAGGAGACAGAGGGTGCCACAGTGCTCTGTAGTCTGGCAGAGGTGGGTATGGCTGAAGCCAGAGGCTGGAAGCTGCAGCCAGGCAAGCTCAGCTAGAAATCAAGGTATGTCTTAGAGCAGCAGTCTGATAACCACCCTTAGACCCTGGTGGACTGCTTGTCCCCTCATGTTGTATGCTGGCTAGAAGCTTTTCTGGAAGTCTTGAGAATGGGTGTAATTTATCGGGCTCCATGCAGGATAGCTAGGTGAAAGTAGAGGCTTGTATTTGATGTGTTAGGTTGGAGCACTGTAGTCTTAAATATTACAAACCTATGAATGTTGTGGTAGCAAATTTTTCACAGTAACTGCACATTGTGTGGAGAAATGTTTTGTTAGTCTTGGATTTGGTTACTCTAATCAGAACTGACCTTTTTGAAAATGCTAGGAGGAGACACAGGGGAAGAAATGCTAGTAAAAAGAACTTAAAACAAATACTTCCATATAAGTATTTCAAAGCTGAGAGTGTGTAAACAGCTTATGTTAACTGACGGATACATTTGTGGGTCCTGATGCGGGAGTCTTTCTGCAAAGCTCCCTGATAGGAGGCAGGAACCCAGCAGGGTTCTGCATAAAATCCTTTACGGTAGAGCAGTTCTCAAAATATTTACCTGAATGAATTGGAGAAAAATGCATGCTGATAGTTATTTTGGCATAGATGTATTGGATTTCAAATGTTAGTAATTGGATAGTAAATGATAAGTGCCCTTATGGGTCTGCTGCATGCAGTAACATTGGGACTGTCATGAAGCAGGAGACTAGGAAGCTTAAGGCTAAACGAGGCTGCCTCAAAATAAGAGCACTGCACAGAGGTGGGAAAAACTGTGTTTTTTTTTTTCATTTGGTTCTCTGATATTTCAGGGTCTACACTGTGATTTTGCTTGCCTAATGTTCCACTATTTAGTGAACCGACCATCAGAAGAGAGGGTCCGTGATATCATTGTTAACGCAGTTGAAATTGAGCAGGTAAGCCTGGCCAGGTCAGGGCCATGGGCAACACAGCAAGAATTTTATGTGCAAAAAAAGATAAGAAAAACCCTTTGAAATTTCCCATATTTAATACTTGGCTCAGGCCTGGATCCCTGATGCATTCTACCATCTTTTCCCTCTTCCTTAGCTGTGGGAATAAAAGGCAGAGACTTTCTGATGCAGCTGTCAAGTAACTGTGAGAAGCTGAAGCTGGCAGCTAGGTTTCCTCTTTAATGACAAAAATGAAGAAAGGAGAAGAGTGTGTTAAACCCCATCCTTCCTGGATCCCTGTCTCTCCCTACTAGTATATACATACCTTCATCCTCCATGAGAGCATAGGGCTTGTTCTGGCCAAATGTACAGCTCTGTGTTCTCACTTTTTTTGAAGTTGCTGTCAGATCCTTTCCCATGAAGTGCTAACAGTCTTTAACTACAGGTTTTTGCACTGCTGAGTGTTTTGCACAATCATAGTTTACTTCCTCCCATTGTCATCTTACTACTGCCATGATGATGAATACCTCAACTTTGCTGTGTAACACTGACAGGTATTGCCTCAGTGCCTAAACATGTGCAAGGCTGGGTTCAGCCCTCATACATCACTATCCCCTCTGATTTGCCATTCTATAATGGCTGGAAGCCAAGGAAAACTGGAGATTTCTGGGTCTATTTCTGTTCCCACTGGTAAGGTCTCTAGGTTCTATGGAACTTGGAGGTAAACCTGTCACTGAAGCTTGGGATTTTTTTTTTTTTTAAGTCACTAATAAAAATTCATGTGCTTTTTTCAGAAAGACTTGGTAAAAATAAAGCAAGATTCAAGCAACTACTGAAACAGGACAAGAGACACTTGTTGAGTTCAGCGATTCTAGTTATTTATTCAGGCAACTGCCTGGGGAGCCTGGAATATCACAAATTGTGTTACTTTGAGGGATAGGTGTCTTCTCTCCTTTTCCCACTCTTAAATTTCATTTCTCTAAATGTCACCTGTGTTTTAACTTCTAGGAATTTCTAACAGAGGCGTTACCTGTAGGTCTAATTGGAATGAATTGCACTTTGATGAAACAATATATTGAATTTGTTGCAGACCGGTTACTTATGGAGCTTGGGTTCTCAAAGGTAAGAGATGAAATTGCCAGAAATGCTGGCCTCCTAGAGCAGCCCAAGAAAGCTGTCAGCACAAAGAACTCTCTTAATGTGCCTGGGACCAGGTCACATTTAGCTGTGAGTGACAGCTGAAACCACAGCATTAATGTATGTGCTTCGTTATTTAAAAGAGCAAGAACAATTTAGGCCATTGTTTCCCTTCAGCTGCTGTGCACGTTTGTAATGGGAAACTTATGCTGTTCTCAAGCGCTGCAGTCCTAGAAGGCTAATAAGCACCTTGCATGAGTGAACTTGACCATGGACCAAACTCCTGGGGAGTGACAATGCTGAATTTGCTTAGGTAGATGCCCATAAATTCTGCAGCGTACTACAGCTAGGGGTGATCTAGTTTGAAAGGGTTTGACTTTTTTTAAAGTTGCCCTATCAGAATCACCATTGTAACAGTGTCTATCTTCCCCAGATCTTTCATGCAGAAAATCCTTTTGATTTCATGGAGAATATTTCTCTGGAAGGAAAAACAAATTTCTTTGAGAAGCGGGTTTCGGAGTATCAACGTTTTGCTGTTATGGCAGAAACAATGGACAATGTTTTCACTCTGGATGCAGATTTTTGATACCTTGACCAAGAAAGGGTGACAGTTTCCCTTTCCCCATCTCACTTCCTGCTGTGAAGTTGTCTCTAGTTCCTCTCCTGGAATTGGAGTCTACTGGAATTTTTTTTTCCTGGCTTTTCATGATCTTTGTCTGCAGAGGAAACACATTTTGCTCTGTGTCATTTCAAAAAAAAGAAAAAAGGTCATTTTTTAAAAATTTATATGACTTTTTAAAAGGATGGCCTTTTTAAGATTCCCTTGATATATCTGCTGTGATTGCCGACTTCAAACAATGACCCGGATACTACTACTTTTTTAAAGACTACATTAGTGTTTTAAGAAAGCAAGCTATGTGTTTGCCTCATATTATGGTATTTTGATCTGAAAACCAGATGAGGTATCACTCTATGTATATATGTTGCTATAAATTATTTTCATGGTTTGTATTTTCATGTTTATAGATTTGATCTAGAGTAAATACTCTTTTCCTGCTGCAGAAAGAGTAATAAGTGAATTTGGAAAGATGTCAATAGGCTATGAGCTGTACAGTCTTATTAAGCCTAAGGATACAGTTTGATATCCCCATTAACCTGGGTTTTGTCTGAAGCAGTTTTCACTCTGATTGCCAACATGATGCCTACTGGTAGAAGTTTTAAGACAAAAATCATATATATTTGATTTACAGCTGTTATTAAATAGGTCAGTGTACCTTGAATGGTCCTTGGAAAGGCAAGCCTGTAAATAATGGAGTAAAAACACATCCTATAGTTTGGCTTGTGCAGCCTGCTTTTCCCTGCTTCTCTTAACAAGTGCCTTACTAAGAAGCCTGTGGCTGGGCTGAGTTGCAGCCAGCATCGGAAACTGGAACAGCTGGCTCTGGGTATTGGCTTTGCTCTCACCATTGTACTGGGTGATTTGATATTCTCCCCTTCTCAGTTTCACCTGAGCATTGATGGTGTGAGAAGGCATATCATTCCCGGGTATTATCTCTTGAGGTACTACAAACATGTGACCTGAGCTGTAAGGAAACCCCATAACGTATTGAGGTACTTTCAGAATTGCATGTTTAATGTGACCCATTGAAGTGTCGTGAGAGAGCTTTTTTAGCATAAGGTATTAAACCCTTTTAAAAACAAATCTCAAAGTAGTATGGGTTATCAACATTTTGCAAATGACTGCTGTATGGTTTTTGGTGTGTTCCAGTGCCTGAAAACTTTTTAATTTCCTGATAACAGGCACAGAGAATAGAGCAGCTGAAAAACGGCTAATACGCTATAGCGATACTTGGGATGAAAAAGATAGTATTCATTTGTAGGTGAATTATTTGCAATTAGATAGGCTCACTTTTTTTTTTCCTCAAAGGTGAAGAAAGTGTATATGAACTAGATGATGGGTTCTGCTTTATTAAATCCAAGCATTTTTTCATAATATCCAGCACTTCATGTAAGAGCTTTTATAAGCGTCTGTCTTGTTGTTCCAAATGTCTTGTGCCGCTTTCAATATGCCTGGCCTAAGATGAGCTGACAGTTTAGGATTATCAGTGATGGGATGATACAAATTTATTTCCCTGCCAGCCCAGATGAGCCACGGCCCAGGCTATCTGAGTTCCTTCAGATAGATCTGTCGCGTGAGCATGGTTCCTAGTGAACAATTATCCCTGGGGTAAAAATAAGCAGCAAAACTAGCTCTTGCTTTTTCTTTGGTCTCAGCAAAAGATCATAATTTCTTAATGAGCATAAAAACAGGACAGCTCTTTTTCCTAGAGAATAGCATGCCTCATTTGCTATAAAGTATGTGGAGGGCAGGGGGGGGCCTGAAGAGTACAAGAAAAAGCTGGAACTGGTGTCACTCAATAATGTCCTGCAATTGCAGAAGACCTGCAGGCTCCAGAGAGACAACCTAGCGCCTTTTGCAAATATTGTGTTGATGTGGGGGAAAGACAGGTCTACTGGAGAAATGGAACCTGTTTATAGTCACTAAAAGTAATAAAAACCATTTTTTTTTGGTGTTGTGACTTAAGATGAGAGTATACAAAATATGTAAAAGTTTCATATTTGAATGTCCTCAGGTTCTCTAAATGTATATGAGATACCAAAGTGTGGTTACAACCCCATTCCCCCATATATGTGTAAAATATTTATATAGTTTCAATAAAACTTGAACATGGAGAGGAATATACCTTTGTTTGTTAGTTCTGTGCTTTATTGTGAAATCTAAAATAAAATTAGGCCATGTCAGAGTAACCTGGTGTTTACAGCTTTTGGCTTGTGGGAGAAAGTTCCCTGTGCTCCATACACTGTCTTGCACTTGTGTGCTCTCCACTTGACCTTTCTTCTTCTGGGGAATGGGGTTTGCAGTCTAGGGAACTGAAAAAAAAAATTTATTTTTTCTGGGTCAAGGAGAAATTCTTGGGAGCCCCTTTAGATTCAAAGAAGAAACACTCCAGAGCTGTAATGTCGCTGGGTGCTGTTGGATAGCTGGGATGGGAGAGGAGCTACCCCTCCACCTCTCCTGGGCATGCTGGTACATACCCCTTGCTCCAGGTAGCTGCCTGGAAAGCTTGTTGCCTGTTGTTTGGGGTTAAAATGACCTTGTTCTCTGTGGCAAAGAGGTGGCTGAAGCTGTGATCTTTTCTAGGACGCCAGGAGCCATAAATTGGTATGTATGAGGGCCACCTCATGCCTGCAGTCCCCCACAAGCCTCTCCTGACCAATGGCAGAGGCTGGGTCCAGCGAAGCGCAGGGGCAGCTCCTGCCTGCCGGGGCATACTGTGGGCTGCCGGGACACAGGCTGAAGATGCCTATGGGAGCTGGCAGGGTGAGCCTGGCAAGTAGCATAAAAAAACATGTAATAACAGCCGCTCCCGTGCAGGGACCTCACTAACCCATAGGAGATACCAGAGGAAATGCAAGTGCGGCCCCTTGTTGGATGTGAGAGGTGCCTGAGGGAAGCTGCAGACTCCATCCTGTGACGGAGGGACAGGTTAAATACCGTTTGTGGCACCTGAGCCATCCCTCGCGCCACGAGCGCCAGCAGCAGAGTTGCGCAGCACCCTCCAATCCCCGGTGAGGTGCTGCTGCTTGCCCAAACTGGCTCAGTTCTGTGGGGCCTGCCTGGACCGCTGTCTTCCCCCAGCACTTGCACAACCTCCCTGCATCTGTTTCCCTCCCCGAGGGTGCCAGCTGTGGGGCTGGGCACCCTGGGTGCATCCATGCGCAGCGTTGGGGGGGCCCGGCCCCCTACCTGAGTGTCTGCTCCTCGGCTGTCGCGGCCCTGGTGGGGCCTTCTCGAGCCAAGAGGATCCCGCCTCCCGAAATCCAAAACTGCCTTTGTAGCTCCCACTGTTTTCGTTCAAGCAGAGAAATTTGGGCCTTAGCAAAGGTGATGCTGATGAGCACCAGCCACAAGCACTAAATAAAACCTGAGGGCTCTGCGCCCAGCCCTGTCCTCTGCTCAGCTGCCTGCCGCATGCAAGGACCGTGGCGCTCAGAGGGGCATCAGCTGGTCCTGGTTCTTGCTGGGAAAAAGAAGAAAGTAGGTGAAGACAGGGCAATTAGCAAGCTTTTGATAAACTATTCTTGACAGCTCCTAGTTTATATTGCTGGAACGGTAAGATTTGTTATAGGCAGTTAGGATGTCCGGTGTGTGGCAGCACACCTCAAACTGCAGCTATACCCTGGCAGCTGACAGTGCACAAATCTAATCCCGCTGCGTTTTTCTTCCTCGCCTCTGACTGTTATTAAACCGCCTTCCTGGCCCTCCCCAGCATCCCACTGCTGTCAGCAGAGCTTCTCTGTGCTGAGCGGCTGAACGGGGCTGGTTTTCCTCCTGGTGGAGCCCTCGAGTCATCAAATCCTCATGTCGCAGCCAGCAGGTTCTCCAGAGCTTCTGGGAGAGACACAGTCACCCAACAGTCATATGTTAGTATTAGAAGTAGCTCAGCATGCGCTTGCCGGGAGGATGTCTGTGTGACTGGGAGGGCTGATATCTGCACTAAGCCATGCAGAGGTAGACAACATGCATGTATTTATGCATATATAAGAAAAAAATATAAATATATACAATCATAGAAGTCCGGTACACACTTATAAAAGAAGACTTGAGGAGAGAAGACTACAAATGCCAGCTTTTATCAAACCCTCTCCCTGCAATGGAAGGGTGACATGATCAGCTCAATATCGCTGGAAGAAGCCCCGTTTCTGGTCTGCCGGGAGCCCCCGCAAGCTGCTCTGAGCCCCCACACCTTGTCCCAGCCCAGGAGCCTAGGTTGCCTGCGCCGGGGCGGGGGTCAGGGCTCTGGCAGCAGATTGTGCTGCTAACCAAAATCCTAAGCTAAGATTTTTCAACACAGGCAAATCCTGGGAATGGCTCCGTTTGTCCTGTATAGAGTGTGTGTAGCTGTTTCCGAGAGCAGCAGCTTCAGGCTTTGGGTGGTGGAGAGAAAGCAAGTCCCAGTTCAGCTTTCTCACGTGCGCGTGGAGAGGCAGCTCTGTTGGGTCCTGCAGCTGTAGAGGGGCTATCAAAAACTAAAGAAAAGTCCATGGCCAGCTCAGTTTGCAGGACATGTTTGCACAGCTGCTGCAGAGACAGAGTCAGGAATTCCCTGTTGCAGTTTTGACCTTTCTAATGGACTAAAAGAGGATCTGTGAGTGACAGGCTCAGGATCCATATGACAAGCAGCAGTGCGGAAGGGAAAGCAGGAGCAAATTCCACTGCTGCTTGTGAAGCTTGGCTGTCCGGGGGCTCATTCACTGCAGATCCTTACTCCTCTCAAATCTGCTTCAGCAGCTCACCCGGGGTTGTATCCCCCAAAGGATCTGCTGTTTCTTTGCATGTACCATTCATCATGACATTGGCTCTAGAAGAGCTGCTGGTGAATTCACATGCACAAATCTTTATTGTCAGGCTCTTTTTTTTGCTGTACCCTATAGTTCGGTTAATGTTACTCTGCAAATGGCCCTGGCTAGCTGCTCTAATGGCAGTACTGTGTTCGATAGCGCTGAGGACGGCCCATGCCATGGAGGTGGACGCTGCACAGGCAGCTCCAGCTTTCTGAAGGGTGCAGTGCAACTTCTGTAAGTGGCTGCCTCAGGCTCTTAGTGAGAGAGGAAAGCAGCTGCAGGGCGCTGCGCGGAGCAGCTCATCATGGAGGCAGAGGAAGCGACCACAGTCCTGCCACGGCAGATGGCCGCCCTTGCACCCTGTGCGCCGGCGATGCAGGGTGCTTGGTATTGCAACAGACAGCATGGGATCCTTTCACGAGCGCTGCAGAGGCGTGAGGAGGTAATCACCAATACTGAGATTAGCAGATTAATGGAAAGAAGGTATTTTCGATGCTTCTGGGGTTTCACAACTGGGGACCAGCTCTTGCTCCTGTCCCTCTGGTGCCCAATGAATGTCAAAAAAAGTCTTTGCTGTGCACAGTGCTAATTCCTAGATGGGTTGTTACGTGACCTGGTCAAAACCTCTTCCTAAAAGCCCTTCCTAAATGCCATGCAACACCTCCTGTTCCATGGCCACACAGAGAAGGAAGCGGCTGGGATGTAGCCAGGAGGTCTGGGCGGCTGCTTTTCAGTCTGCTCTGTGTGACTGTTGGTTTAGTGATACAGTGACCGTTCAGCTGTGGCTCATGCTGACGTCCTGCCTTGCTTGGACTCAGCTCCTGATAAGCTGCCTTCCAGGAAGCCTTGCCTTGAAGCACACAGGAAACGGTGTCAGATACAAGATCTGCAGTGCAGCAACCGCGGGCAGATGCTGGCAAGCCACACGTGTGCTAGTCCCAGCCTGGGCTGGAGCAGCCTGCACACTGATGTGGCTGGAGCAGTTTCAGGGGCTTTTCCTCTGCCAGTTATAACCAACAAGGTCCTATCTCAGAGTCTCCATAAATTGTTCATTTTAGAGAGGAAGCTTCCAAAATCAGACTGCAGACTCTGGGCAAACAGCAGAATAGTTGATGTGATTTTTTTTTTTCTCGGCAGTTGGCAGAGCCAGGAAGAGTGTTAAGAACAAGTCTTAGTGTGCAAATAGTTTTTAATCATTTGATGAAAGCCTCTGGCACCGCAGGCTAAAATTCAGAGCTGCATGAAAACTTTGGCTGCCCAAGAAAGTTTCTTAGCACAGCTCCAAATTTTGTTCTGCCAACCCCTTCCCTGCAGTGCAGTGTTGAACAAAGATGCATTTCAAAATAGATCAAATTCAAGTTATTTTACAAGGAAATGAAAGATGTGTTAACCAGTGACCTTAAAATGCAGGAAGTTGTTTAATCTCTGCATTTCATAGGGGGCTCTTTGGGTTTGCTACTAAACAGCCTGCACAGCACCTGTTATGTGCTCATGGTGGTAACCTGTGCTGGCCTGTGCCTGGGGGATTTTCAGAGTTTGGACCGTTTGACTACTCCTATAGTCAGTTTTGAACAATTAATTCAATGAAGACTGAGGTTATGTCTGCTGTCTCCTGGAAGACAAGTACCATCAAAGAAGCGAAACTTCTAGTTCTTCATTAATTCACTTTCTTTGGTAGCATTTTGGATGATTGATGGGATTGATGGAAAGGTGTTATGGGCTTCGGTTGACTCAGGACATGAGTACGGAGTTAACTGAGGTCCCGCTCCATGCCAGAGCAAAGTGTGTCTTGGTGAGAGGGGTGGAGGGTCTAGAGTGGGTGCACCTGCCTGCGGGGACATCCCAACACAGAAGTCTTGTGCCTTTCTCCAGGAAAGGTGCTGCGGCTGGCTGAGTAATGGCAGTCTGCAGCACGGCTGAGCTGCAACGTACAAAACACCAGGCAGATCTGTGTCGCCCTGCCTGAGCTGGGGCTCTCCGACAAAATACTCTGAGAACATCTCCTGGGGCTCTACAACATCCCTGGCTCTTCTGAGTCCCAAGCTCACAAGCAGGCAAGGCCCAGGGAAAGGCCAGGTGCTCCTGAGCAGCGGGGAAATGCCTATGAGTAGGATGAGTCTGAAAGCCAAAGATGCGTGGGAGCATCTGGCAGTGGGAGCAGCAGGCAGGCAGTTCAGCCTGTTGACTTGACGCTGGCAATTGTGTGACAAAAAATGCTCATCACACACAGACTTGGGCAGTCGTTCGTGTCCTGCGCTTGCTTTCCCAATGGCACCATCACCCTGACTCTGAGGGACTCAGCCTGATGGTGGATAGCATAAACATTGCGCAGCCAAC